CATGAGTATTTCTCACAACCTTGAAATTCTTCCACACATCACCATATATCCAAAATAATTTCTTAAAAGAATACATCAGTGTTGAAAATAACAGCTTGTCTGCCAGTCCAGAACCTGTAACGTTTGAGCAGGATTGGTTCATTTTTTATGGATTTGACTGTAGGGTATACAATAGAAATACAAATTTTGGAAACCAGGACTGGCTGGGTTGCCAGACTTATTTACAAGTCTGAATACAGTATATATATGTGTATTGAATGTAGTCTTGCAGTCATTCTGTGGTGAATTACAGTATTTAATGCCCCAATTGCAGTCATTCCAACTGCTATTGTATGCAAATTATTGTTACCTTTGGTTTTTAACTGTGGATAGCATATTCTGTCATTTTGCTGCTGGCATTCTCTTTCTGAAGAAAATACCAATTTATCTCTAGGGTAAAATAGCAGAGGATATAATGAACACATTTGGAAACTTCTCAATTTTCAAGAATATATTTACGGATGTGTCAAGTTCCTACTTCGGTTCAGGTATGAATATTACATTGATTCCATTAATATATTACATCAAGAGCTTAAAATATTCTTAGCATGTCGTCACATTCAATGCATTAACATAATGTAATATAGAATAATAATATAATTTAAATTAAAAGAGTGTAACATAATATAATATAGTATAATATAATGTTGTGTAATGTAACATAACATAGGATGACATAACTTCAGGAGTGTATAATGTAGATAACATAACATAACATGTCAATGCTGAAAATGGCCTACTTGGACAAAAATGAGATTTTTACAAAAATAAGTTTCTAAGTTTCTAAAGTTTCTGGACATTTTTAATTTAAAATTTTTTCTTTTTTTTTGACGGGCCTTGGATTGCTCATCCCCGACTGGGCCCCTTACCCGGAACGCTTTATCTCAAAAGCGGCATATTCCGGAATAAGTCGGTTACCGATTTTCAAATTGCTGTAGATCGGTTAATTCTTTAGATATAGCCAAATATTATATATTGACCATTTTAAAGGTAATTAAATGATATATTCAAATATGCACATAACTCAATTTGTAGAATTTCCTACTTAATCCTGGTTTTGGTGGAGCGGGTCACATATAAATAATTTACTATATGGGTACTTTGCAGAGAACATCGTGTGCCATGAAATAAAAACCAATATTGTTGATTAAAATTAATGTTGCTTGCTGTGAGGTGCAGCACCTATCAAGAATTTCACGCCACTAATGGCTCTCACAATGTGCTGTAAAGAAAGTTTAACCTAGTAGACGAGGGCAGTATAATATATCAAATCTAGTAAAACAATTTTATATTTAAAATTAAAATTAAAAGTAAAATATTTCAAAACGCACAGCAACCGTCTACCACTGATCACGACTCTAACCAACTCTCTCGCTTCTCGCTCAACCATTAACTATTTCTCTATTCCTAGAAACCATCTTCACACTACATTTAAAGGGATATATACTACACCTTAGAATTGTATGGTATATTCTGATAGGAAGTGCATATATAATAGTATGTATCTACAAACTTCTATAATTATTCATTCACAATTGTCCCAAAACAACAGTGAGTTTCAAAATCGTTATTTTTGGCTGCTGAAATGACACCCTGCAATTGTGCTGCCACCCTGGAGAAGTTGCACTTTTTCCAATTATTTTGCACGTTACAGACTGAGGGCTAATCACAAAAGTGCAATTATATTCATACCAAACTGCTATTTAACAGAACTATTTTTATTTCAGGGCAAACTCATCCACATAACTGAATCTAAAAGTTTTTTTACAAGATATTGCAATTCTTAAGTTCTTATCTTAAATTAGTAAATAAGAAACAACCTCGGTCTGTAGCCTGCAACCAAAAAGTTACGATATGTAACGTTGAAAGTAGATGGGCTAGTACTAGTAGTGGCGCCACCGTCATTGTAAGAAACGATACAGCTGTTACTTTTAAAACAGAAAAAAATATTTCTAATCAATATTGAACAATGAAATTTTTATGTAGCGTAATTTGAACCTAGAGTCATGTAATCCCTTTAAATTGACTACGTCGCAAATTTTCTATGGTGTATATTATTTTGTAAAATTTAAAATTTTTGTTGCAATTTTTTTACATGAAAAGTAAGTACTAACGGTACTAAATGTATCCTCAAATTCTTACCTGATAAGATTGTTTCTCAACAAGTTAAAAATCCAAAAAACCTGGGCGATTTGATATATTGATCACGACATTAAATGCTTGCTATGGCCTATGTATGAGTCACAAATGTTTGTTTGCGTCAAACAGAATAGCAAAATAGGAAGTATAATGCAGCAATTTAACAATAAAAAGTGAACAGAATCACTTATATTTTTTGAAAAGGTGGTGGCCACTCGGTGAATTTTATCCGGACTAAAAGAGGTTCCGGGCCATCAGTGTCCAGAAAATCGGTGGTGTACCTGTACTAACATAGAGTATATATTTATGTATATCTGTATATATGTTTGTTAGATATGTATACTTTGAATAGATATGTTCGTGGTTATATATGCTTAGGATGCTAGAGGAACACCCCTACACAATTATGATGTTATAGTGTAATATGTTTCTGTTATCTGAGCCAACACAAGTAATTTTAACACAATATCACACGGTCCTATTCTACACATAACATTAACATAAAACAATGTTTCATAAATACTTCATCATGTCTCAAGTTGGACTAACGCCCGCATTACTAGATGGAAACTTTGTCGTTATCAAAGCAATTAGTGGAGCGACTGAGAGCCAAAAATTTAGCTCGACCCCTCCCCACTTTAGAAAAAGGCAAATGAGGTATCGTTAGATTCGTTAGGATGTCTGCTTTATGAAAAACAATGTTTTACCGTCAGATTCTAATTAAAACATGGCCAATTAACCCCTTTTTTGCAAAAACCTATAAAAAATGGGAATTTTGGAATATCAGAATAATTGTTATTTTGGCACCTTAAAAGACTGAAAACATGTTAATATCCCATTAATTCCTTTCTGCTAAGGACACTCACATTATTTTCGGGTTTTAACCCACTTCAATGGGGTTTTAGGTAGTGATGTCCCGATGATCGATTATAATCGAAAATCGATCGATTATAGTCTCAAATTCGATAATCGATTATAAAAACAAATAATCGATTATCGGAAATACCAAAACAAACAAACAAGGAACTGTACTCACGATGTGTGAATTGATATGACAAGTAGAGCACAAGTCCTGCAGGGGCCCATTGTCAGAAACATCGTAAAGTTAAATTGTTAATGCTAATGTTAATGCTACGATAACACTTACAACTAATGTTAATGCTACGAGAGTACTTTTAATGTTTGAATAAAGGCATTTAAACCATTTCTTTTTAAATTGATTAAATACTGTATAGGAACAGACATTGATATACGAGGGTCCTGATGGGGTACCCCAATTCTCAGTAAACAGTAAATTTTTAGGCCTTTTCTCATTTCTCAGTATAAATTTGGGCCATTTCTCATTTCTCAGTACATATTT